CCTCTGTTTGGGCGACTCAGAAGGGGGGATATAAATTTGAAATATCTGCAGTGCTCTGATTTGTGATGGCCCTGTATTTGATGTTGGCTTCTCAAATTCATACCCTTTTGGTGTTCCTTTTACTGCTTGTGGAACAGTAGCTCGAGGTACCACCATTTCATATTCTGCATGAATGCCCATTATATCAAGACCACTACTTTCTCGAACAACTACTATTACCTCAACTGAAATCTCTGTCTCGGGATCCACGGGTGGCGTTTCTTCCTCACTAGCTGTAGGTGGAGAATCCTCCTGGAAGTCTTCAACTTCTCTTTTGGCTCATCTTAAACGGTATCAAGACATTTTGGCACAAACCTCGGGCATGCTGATTTGCAAATAGTCATGGTTAGGAAACTCGGGCATGCTGATTTGCTAATTTCTGAGTTTGGAGCGACTGGTGTTGAGGATAGTTCCTGTTGCCTCCTTAAATATAAAATAATCATTGCTTACCTGAAAATGTCTGATGCTTGTCAACTATAATTTCTATCATTGGAAGGTCAACTTAACACGATAGATTCTTGATACCCACATACAGCTGACATTTATATTCTGGGAAATTTACATACCAAGCATACAATTCTTATGTTTTTACATGTCTCACACCTGAACTTTTCTATTTACGTACATAGCAATTTGGTGGTTTAAATCTGTGCATGAAAAGTTTTATTTCACTTTTTAAAAAATATAATAGTGCTATCCATGATGTGCTATAAATATTGAGTGCCATGTGTGTAAATATGAAAGTTTACTCACAAAATTGTTTAATTTAAATTTCCATTGTCTGAGCTTCCTGGATTAGTATCTGTTGAGAGTTGTCTCCTTTTCTGTTTTAGCTTGCTTGTTCAATTCTTTATTTCCATGTCTAGGAAGTTATTGTCATTTTGGTAGATCAAATCCTTAATATTCTATCTTATGTTGAAGATTTGGTAGTGTTGGCTGCCTGAATGGAAATTAACCCAATTCCATGGCTTTATGTATAGTTACTCCAATCTATCAGACATTTTTTGCTTCCTTTTAAGTAAAGATCTGCCATGTAGGATTTGTGCTTTCTTGATGCTCTTTTTTTAATGCAATCCTTTTTCATTTATAGTACCTGATTACATTTGCATTTTTGCTGATTTTAATTATGCTATTCTTACTGTTTCAATGTTTCCCATCCAGAACTCATTTTCTTAAAACTTCAATAATCTTTTTTAGCATGGGAGAGTCATCTGCAAGAATCACAATTTGCTAATTAGTGGCTTGTGGGTGATGTGTTTTTTAAAGCATGCTTTCCCTGTTTATGCTCTTTTTATAATTACTTCAATAATCTTTTTTAGCATGGGAGAGTCATCTGCAAGAATCACAATTTGCTAATTAGTGGCTTGTGGGTGATGTGTTTTTTAAAACATGCTTTCCCTGTTTATGCTCTTTTTATAATTACTTCCATCCAATCAGATATGTTACTTTTTCAACGGAGGAGGAAGCTCTTCGCTGTATTCAAGTTGTTAACGGCTACATTTTAGATGGTTGGCCTTTGAAGTAAGTTCCTATTCTATTCTTGATCATATCTTGGTTGATGTTGGCATTTCATTATCTTCTTTCAACCTTTTTTTTTCAAGTTTTTCTTTTTTAGAGGCATTTACATAGACACCACCCAATTCCTATGTATTTACATATCTAGCACCTAAATTTTACTTTTAACATTTATACCACCGAAATATTTTTATCAAATAAAAATTTAACTTTAAAAAAATGAAATACACCATTTCATGTATAGGATAGGTGGCATGGCATGTATGTAAAAAATTGAAGTTTAGGTATTAGACATGCAAGTATCACCGAAATATTTTTATCAAATAAAAATTTAACTTTTAAAAAGTGAAATACACCATTTCATGTATAGGAAAGGTGGCATGGCATGTATGTAAAAAAATGAAGTTTAGGTATTAGACATGCAAGTATTTAAGGATTAAGTGGTATGTATGTAATTATTCCCATCTTCTTTCGGTGCAGGGCGAGCTTTGGCACTACAAGGTATTGCTATTCATGGTTGAATAATCTAGTGAGTGCTATTCACCTATATGCATAAGTATCAATGCTGGGTCAGTTCTGTAACTAAAAATGTTTTCTTTCTCAGCCTTGTAAGAATCCAGATTGTTTATACGTACATGGTGCTGTTCCACAAGAAGATATTTGCTTAAGAGAAGAGGTGATTTCATTTTGTACAAGGTATTTTTGAAACGAATTACCTGTAAACTCTTGTGAAGCTACTTGTCTGTTGCAAGAATTCTGGTCTTTTGCTTAACATACTCCTTTTAAATCTGTTGTTGCTTCTCATGTTTTGCTTGTTTTCTTATCCTTTTATTAAGAGGTCCTTGTTTGCAATAACTTTATAAAGCATATGCACTAATCTGAAGTAAATAAATTCAAAACAATTTGCTTGCCTGTTTAAATTAAGAGAAAGCAAGTGGCTAATATATATATTTTTTCTTTTTGTTTCTTAGATTAAAACCAGAAGGTTTGCATGATAAAATGAAATACATTTTCAGTGAATTGTTTTAAAACAATATAAAATGGAGCAAAGTTTCGTAGTACTTTTGAGATTTGATTAATTTGATATAGGTAAGTAGATAGTTTATACGAGAATGCTGATATAGAATAGGCTGAAAAATAGAAATTATATCTTCGATGATTGTATTATTTTCTTTTTAAAAGAGAAAAAATGTTAAGAATTTCTTATGTAAATTTGCAAGATTAGTGGAGTGATGCAAAGCTGGGGTTGGACCGACTAGTCCAACATATTTGTTTTGTTCTAGCCTACCCCCTCTGATTGGCGAGAACTGATGCATTTCCCCTCCCCCCTCAATGTCTTTTATTATAAATTTATGTTGCTGCCGCCTAGGGTTTTAGTTTTTTTGTTGATTTTTGATTTCTGCCACCAAGCGTTCTCTCTTGTCAGGGTTGTGTCCGAGGATTGGTGGTACTCCAACTGTATCGTGCTCTCCCTATTTTGCAAGATTAGTGGAATGATGCAAAGCTATGGACCGACCAGTCCAACATATTTGTTTTGGTCTAGCCTACCCCCTCTAATGGGCGGGAACTGCTGCGCTTCCCCCCTCGCTCAATGTCCTTTATTATAAATTTATGTTGCTGTCGCCTAGGGTTTTAGTTTTTTGCTGATTTTTTATTTCTGCCACCAAGCTTTCTCCCTTTTTAGTGCTGTGTTCGAGGATTGGTGGTACTCCGACTGGCGTTCTCCCTTCTAGTCTTTAGTCTACCGCCGATCCTACCCTCTACTTTCAGTCGTCAGCCACCGATGCCCCTTTCTCTATTTCCAACCATCCGTTCTTTCCCCTCTCCCTGCAAATTCCACTAAACCACACTTTTCTGAACCATCCGACTGCACCTCGCTACTCCTAGCCACTGCCCACGGTTACCCCTAACCAACCCTAGTAGGGTATTAGTGTTTGTCGTGTTTTTCTCGTTATGTTTCAAGACTTGATTGAAACATCTTAGTTTGAATAATAAAATTTTGTTTTCTCTCAGATTTTTACTAAATCGCGGTATCATTTGATATCAAAGCTAACCTAACTCTAGTTCTATCCTAGGATTTCATAATATTTACTTTACCTCTCCACCAAATTCTTTTCTTTCATACCCTCATCCACCCATTCCAAACCCAAACCCTAATCATGCCACCACGAAGGTACATGTCGGAACTACCTGAGACGAGATATAGCGTGGGGTACATAGGCTTCAACAGAGGCTCGCAGAGATTGATGATGGAACCCAAGGGGAGATTATCCTTGGTTGTGATATGGAGAGTCAAATGGGAGACAAGGACGAGGATTTGATTCCATTCTACAGAGAAGAAATCAATGACAAGGAATACCAACCTCGTTGCTTTGAAATTTAGTATCAAAGGAGACCGAGAGATGAGCTCATATATGGAGGGCATAAGGACTTCTACATCAAGGTGGATCTACCAGAGTTTGGAGGTATGGATCCATATGAATTTATCGACTGACTACAATCCGTGGAGCGAATCATCAAATATAAGGAAGTGTTAGAAGACAAACTGGTAAAATTAACGGCCATCAAGTTAAAGAAAAATGTCTTCTTGTGATGGGAGAACTTAAAGAGGTAGAATAAGAGAGAAGACGGTGATAAGATTTCCAAGTGGGAAAAGACGAGGAAAGAGATGCGGAGGAAATACCTTCCACCTTATTACCGCGAGAACATATTTATAAGATTCCACCACCTACAACAAAGAGATCTTTCAGTGGAGGAGTTCCCAACACAGTTCTACTAATTTCAGATGAAGTGTGAGTTGATCGAGCTTGAAGAACACACCATAACTCAATTTCTGAGGGGCCTGAAGCCTGTTATTAACAATGTTGTGCAGTTACAATCATACTGACCATTGAGAGATGTCCAAACCTTAGAATTGAATATGAAAAACAACAAAAATAAGGCAGACAAATTTAGACAATAGTCTTCAATCATACATTCACCTACATCTACAAGGACGGATAAGAGCACCTCTTGGGAGTTGGTAACACAGGACAAAGGAGTGACAAGGCGGATCCGAGTGGAAAGAAGCTAATAAAGGGTAGTTCTTCCACCACAATGCTTGCGAGGAGGTATTTCAGGTGCCACAGCTATGGACACATAACCTCCAGCTGTCCCATGAGCTGAGTTGTCTCATTCATTAATCAAGGCGTGTTCGAGGAGGTGGAGGACGGGGAGTCAGAGGATAGTCCTATGAATAACTTTAGCTTCAGGGTGACGTGGGAGAGATGTTAGTTATATGGAGAATTCTGCAATCAGAGCTGAAAAGAGATCAGTCATGGCTGAGGCACAGAAACACGTGCAAAAAATACCTCCAGACTCTCACAAAAACAAATATATAACAAGAGGATAACTTAGAGTAATCTAAGAGGACTGATCGACTCCTCGGAAGAAAGTAAACCTAGACCGGTTTGGTCCCGACAAACACACGAGACACCCACTTTTTGGTTGCAACAATTTCTACATACATGACACAATTTCACATTTGCCTGGGCTGTTGATGCCCCGTGTCGGTCTCCCGCGGTTGGGTCTCCCGGGGTTGGGGGAGCTTTTAATTCATTAGTCGAAGTTTTTATCTCTTTTAATTCATTAGTCGAAGTTTTTATCTCCATGTTGAGGGTGATATAGCTACTGTAACCTCCCAGGGTTGATGAATCTTCAACTGTGCTCTTAGAAGCACCTGGATCTCATTGTCAGCTACACAATCTCCCAAATCACCCAAAAAGTTTTCGCCGCTTGCGAGCAACTATCCATATTGCTCCAATTTCTAGGGTACACGGAACTGAATAGGGAGTGCGTGTCATGTATATTCTGCTGAATCCTTCCAAACTGACCCCTAGTTGGCAAAACTTGATTTGAAGTGAGGGCTGCCTAAATCTCTTCCACAGTTGGCGGTAATGACTGTAAGCTATCTAACAGAATGTCTTGAAACTCTCTCTGTACTAGTTGGTTTGTGCTGAAACCGGCTCTCCTGTCTTGCTTTCCTCCATCAAAAGTGATGTAGGACTATCATGTTGAGTATTGTTGTCAAATGTCACGGTCTCTCCAACAAAAGATGATAGACATCTACGAGCTTCACATCGCACCATACATGATCCTGCAACTGGTTCTCAATCTATGATTTTTAGTTGCCAATTTAATAACACTCCATTAGGAATTCTAGCTTAGCAGAAAGTTTTGCACCTGTTGCTTACACTTAATATTTGGCCGCTTGAGAGAGCAAGAATGCTACAAAATATCCATTCGTGTATTTTTTATGTAGAAATATATGGGGTAATAAGAAGTACTACATACGGAGCACCCAATTCTCATGAATTTACATGTCTCTCGCCTAAACTTTGATGTTTACATTCATAGCACTTTGGTAGTTTAAACCTATACATGTAGATGTTTATTTCAACTTTTAAAAAGTAGTACGACGCGGTGCTTTCTTAAGGGGAAGGCTGTATCAGCTGGTTCAGCCAAGGGAAGTGAGGGACCGACCGGCCCATATAGTTGGGTTATGGTTGCCTCCTAAGAGGAGGGGCCTTCTTCTCTAGTTATATATATATATAGATTATCTATTGTCATTAGGGTTCATAATTTGCTGAGTTTTCTGTTAGGACAGCCGTCGATTTCCCTTCTCTTTTTAGGGTTGTATCTGATAGGAAAATATTACCTACGGATATTCTTAGGTGCAGACACTAGCTGGGATGGGCTAAGCAGAAAAAAAAAGCAAATCCCCGTGCAATCCACGTTGATGAACGTAGGTGCGGCGTCTGCACCTAATAAAGGTACTCCAACTCTAACTCAGTCTTAATGTGGTATGTATCTTTCCTTTTCTTGTTAGCTAACACTACTCCGGCGTCGCTCCGGTTACCTTTTTTTTTGTACCGACCTGCTCCCGGCCACCACTCCAACCCTTCCTCCCTGCCATAACTCCTCAACCGAACCTTCCTGCAGGCTGTCGTAACTCTCCCTCCTTTCAACCTCCTGTCCCGTTGCCAGGCCCTCCCAGCTGCACCTTCATTCCCTACCTCCAGCCTTCCTATAACTGTTCCTACGCCAGCCCACCATCAACCTGCTGCCCAGTCTTCTGCCTGCAGCACTCCATTCTGTAGCCTCCACCTAGCAGTCACCAACTTCTTCCACAGGCTTCTCTCCATCCACCCGCTCAACCCAGCCAACCAACCACTAGGTTGCTGCCTGTCCATCTTACACCCCTTCCTAGCCTTTGCTTCCCGCGCCGCAGCTCCACCTTGCCGACCTATGCCCAAGAGTGGTGGCGTCTCGTTGTTTTCCCTGTTTTCAAGTGTCGTGTTTGTAACCCATTTAATTTTAGTAATTATATTGTTCCATTTTGGGTTTTGGGGTTAACTCCTGTATCATTGTAGCAATGTTATTTTTATGTGACATTAAACATTTGGGTGCTATATGTGTAAATATGAAAGTTTAGTTGTGAGATATATATATACATCAGAATTGTGTGCTATATATGTAAATGTCCCTACTTCTTAACTAAGCTTTTTCTAATTTATTGTGCTGGATTCCTGGCCTTTATCCTTTTTGAAATGAAATTTTCATCCTATTTGATTCTTCCCTATTTTGTCAGTGCTTAGTAAATAACATTACTTCCTGAAATCATTTCATTATTCTTGTCATTGCACCAGTAAACTTCAGCAATGTCCAAAACTTGCGTTTTCTAATCTCAAACAACATTCGGGAAGTTTCTTACCTCCGCCGCTAGATACAAAGAGTTCACCACCTTCATTGGTAACTTTATAAATCACATCGGAACTATTTGATCTACACTGATACCACCTTCTGATCTGCTGGCATTAAGCCAATTGCGATTTCAATTTCAGCAGATCCACCAGTTCAGAACCTATGATATACAACTTTTCTGTATCAACTTTATAATTTTACTTTTCATTGTGCAGGGTCATATAAACTACAATAGGTACATGCAAAGTGATTATTTTGGGAGGTATGGCACCTTCTTATGACATTTTTTTTATTTATTTATTTTATAGAAAATGTGAAGGTCACACGCTGCTTTGTTCAAAAAAAAAGAAAATGAGTTACAAAATGATATCTCAAATTACAACTCGCACAACGAACGAATGAAAAGAATAATTGTCTAACAGAAGAGAAATACCAGCAATAATACAATAATCCAACAACGAAAATAGTCCAACAATAAAGACAACTGAACAACACTAGTACGAAACACCATAAAATGACACTTCAATCAGTAACAACAAATCCCCATAGAAACGAAGCATTCCACTAGAATAAGAAGCCCTGCAGTTAAGTATTAAAAGTTCATCCTGAAATTTTGAATATATAAGAAAATATTCAAAACATGGTTGAATTTTAATAACGGCCAGAATTAATCATAGATCAATACCAATCTCAACATCTAGCAAATATCAGACAATAAAAAAATATTCACGAAAATCAACAAAGATGAAGGCTGAGCCATCAAAATGCTAGAAAAAATAGGCAACCAAAATTCTAGCAATATTTGAACAGAAATCTAACAACAGTCAGGTGGAGCAAGACCTGAACCAACTACATTCAACCAACAACAAAACAACAGAGCAACAACCACACTAATTTAAACATAGAAATATATCTCTGATAGTAAAAAAAAAAAGAAAAAAAAACCAGATCACCAAGGAAAAAATTACTAAAATTTCATCATAAAATTTTTTAATATGAAAAAAGTATTAAAAAACATGGTTGAATTTTAATACCTGCGGGGAAAACATCACAACTCATAATCAAGCTGTGATATAAACCAAAGAAAACAACAAAAGACCCAACTAGCCAGGGCAAACCCAACCAGCGAGCTTAAAGAAATGCATAACGAAACAAATCATACAGTCAATCAAAAACCAAAAGCTCAAAACAAACAACTAACAAGAAGCTAGAAGAAGTACAAAACTTAAAATTTGTAAAACCATACCATATAAGCGGGAATTGAATTTTTAAATTTCTATTTTCTGCTCTTATTAGAAATCAACCAATGAATATAACGAATATTAGAGTCAACAGGGGTGTGATGATTCATAAAAATTCTGGCATTCTTCTCATGCCAAATCACATAAACAACCATTGTAAAGCCCAAAAAAAAAAAAAACACATAGAAATTTTACAAGATAAACTTAGAGTGATGAATAACTTGAAAGTTGTTGCTAGGGGCAATAAAAAAATTAGCATTGTGTACGAAACTTTTAAGAAGCACGTGAGAATAACGACATTAAAAAAAGAGATGATCATGAGTTTCTAGATCATTCAAACATAAAACAAAAGTCAAATTGACATGCATATCTCTCAAAGATAGAATATCACAACTTTTTAGCCCTTTAATAATAACTTTTCAAATACAAATAGCATTTAAAAAAAAAAAACAGCCAAACCATCTTAAACCAATTTACCTAAGGATATTAGACATAATAAGAAAGATAAAAATCTTTATAAGAATAAGTAGTACTTTTATTCCAAGCACAAGACCATTAGAAATAAGAATCTTATTGACAACATTTATACAAAAGCTAGGCAAATTCCAAAAATTATTATAAACAATATCTTTAAGCTTAAAATTAAGAGGAAAATTAAACCAGTTAAAGGTCTAATCACCAAATTTCTCCGCAAAAGAAGCTCCTAGCCAAGCATAAAAATAAAAAAAAAACATTGCAATTATTAGTAACATGAAAACTTAGAGCATGCCTGAATTTAACAGCAATTCTGGCAAGTTCTTTCCAAAAAGGAGATGTCATGGAAATAATATTTTGGCACAAAGAATCATAAAGATTAAAAAATTAATCACTCAACTAAGATTGTTCTATATAATCTTGATTTTACATAGTTGATCACACCCCCCCCCCCCCCCCCCCACACACACACACACACACACACACACATTTTGCTTAGGCATATTAATTTTATTCAAAAAAATAGTGTGAAGTTTTTTGTTATCATCAATGTTAAGGAAAAAATTGGAAATTAGAGGAAATCTTCTTCCTCAGACCTTGAGGTAATAAGAAAGAACGAAACCGATAGTAACAATAACTCTAAATGGTAAATTTTATAAGTTGAAATCAACCAGCAACAAATAATAATTTCCTTTTCCAACTAGCAAACCAAGAATTAATTCTATCAATGAGTATATAACAATCAGAAATAACCAACTTAGAAAGTTTAATATGGACACCAAGATAATTCCAAGGAAAATGTTTAATAGAAAAGCCAATTAAATTATTAAGATGACGTTGAAGATTATCATCCACATTTTTAGAAAAAACACTGATAGACTTAGAAAAATTAATATGAAGATATGAAGCTTTATAAAATTTACTAAGAGCATTTAAAACAAAACTAATATGATTGGAATCAGCTTTACTAAAAATAAGAATATTATCGACATAAATCAAATGATTTATATAATAAACATGTTTATTTCTAGCCAATTAATTATCTATCATAAGAGAGAGAGTTCATAATAATAACAAAAAGATAGGACAAACTTATCTAAGACCAGATGTAAAAAAATAACCTTTAATTCATTATTAATAATAACAAAAAAATAACCGTCTTATGACATCTTTTAAGTAAAATATTGATGATTGATTGAGAAAAATGTTAAAATAGTCATCTGACTCTTTACAGGGGTCATTTTAATCTCAATGTTTATAAAGTGTCAATTTAGTCCATAAACTATCTCAATATGAGCTAAATAGTTGTCTGTGGAGACTAAGACTATGCCTCTCAGTAATGATGGGTTTATTTTGTTGCTTTTATAGATTTCGGGACTAAAATGTCTCCATGTACATAGTCATGGGATTAATTTGGCATTTTACTCATAATTTATATCTTTACCATCCACATTTTGTCATGCTCTTGGTTTTGACCAAAAAAAATATTTCTTCATAGGTCATATGCTACAGTTGCATCGTCGAACGATAAATCGAATCTTCTCAGCACGAATGACAACCAGGTTATGCCTTCCAGTAGGGCGAAAATTTATTTTGAATCAAGTTCAGGGGATCATAACCGTGTCAACAATACATTTCCTACATCAGGAAATGAAATTCCGCTTCATAAAAGCGACAAAGAAAAATTTTCTCATGCAAAATCATTTGTTGGGATTTGCAATTCAAAAAAAGCTTATTCGCCTTATTATAAAACTGCTACTGAAAACCAAGAACAATCTTCAGAATATGATGATTTGGATGCTGTCTCTAGAAAATGTGATCCATTTATAAGTTTACGTACTTTACCGGGCGACTCAACATCAACGCAGCAGAACTCTCTTCCGTCATATGATTGGTCTTGGTGGCATTCAGATTTAGGATCTGTAGACTTCAGCTGTAGCTTTGAAGATGAAAGTGTTTTCTCTCACTTTAGTAGACAATCAAATGATTTGTCCACTTTTTCAACAATCACCTCAAACTTGCTCAGCAGCTCTTCAAGCAATTGTTGCACAGAGTTTGACTTTTCCTGTACTGATAAGACTAATTTAAGATCTGCAAAATTCAGCTGTAACTTTGAGAATGAAAGCTTTTCCTCTCCCTTCAGCAAAAAATCAAAGGATTTCTCTACTTTTTCCACAATTGCCGCAAACCGGTACCATGAAGAACTCCATAAGCCTTCCACAATTTTGTCCTTAGAACCTATGATGTTTCATGGTGAACAGGAAAATGTGTACGGCAGATCTTCTAGTATTAGTGGTCTGGATATTGAGTTTACTCCTACCGATAAGTCTAGAGACGAGAAGTTATTGATTGAATCCTATAATGAGCAATTTGAAGATAGGATTATATCGGAAATTTTTTCTTTGGATCTTGATGCAAATGATGATACAGGTGATACACATTCTGTTTTAGATCAGCTTGGTAGCTCGGATGATTCAAAATCTCATTTTACAACGATGAATGATATGTATGGGGATATAGGGCATTTGTCTCAAAGGTCTAATGGTGCTTCTGGTTTGTCTAATAAGTCATCCTGCTTTGAAATCATAGTAAAGAAAGATGCCTGCATGGAGGATTCGTTAAATATATTTTATCACGAAACATCAAAGAGTTCAAAGGTTCTCAACAGTACTAGTCGTCTTTCTGCTACGGATGTTGTCAAAGGTTCTGGAAATTCATCGGATTTGCGTCAATCAGGTGATAAGTCTCATCATTTTAATTCTTATCGGTCGTATGATTGTTATGACTTGATGATTGGATAGGAACCTGGCGTTTTCATGCATACCACACAATTCTTTTATATTTACATATCTAACACCTAAATTTTGATATTTACATACATAACACTCAAAAGCTTCGACATAACATACAAATTATAACTTATCATTAACTTTTAAAAAAATGAAATACATATTGTCATGCATAGATTTTTAACATCAAGATGTTCTGAATGTAAATATCAAATTTTAGGTGTTAGATATGTAAATGCAAATGAATTATACGGTATGCATGTAAATTTTCTTTATTTTATTAACCGTTGGCTAAACTAACATCAATTAACTGCAGAGTACGCTCTCTTGTGTAAAATGTTATTTTCTTGTCGCACTAGTAATTTTGAGCGGTTGCCATGCAACAATTTCTTTGATATGTAATGCTAAGTTTGCAAGTACTCTGCTTCCTACTTCAAACCTCCCTACCCTCATTAATAGTTCTATTTAACGAGAAAAATTAGTGTACGTAAGACGTATGCAGCGCTGCGTCCGTCAGTAGGTTACAGGGAGGGTATTGGGGGGTTATATCCGCGTTATATCCCATGTAATCTCTCTGTAACCTATCAGTAACCTACTTGTAACCTACCTGTAATCTAGTAAGTTTCGCGCTTCTGTTTTCATATATCAGGTAGGTTACATGTATGTTGCAGAGAGATTATAGAGGTATAACACAGATATAACCCCCCAATACTCTCCCTGTAACCTACTGACATACGTAGCGCTGCATACATCTTGAGTACGCAATTTTTTTCCCTATTTAACACCCCATTATCTTAAATAATTTTTTATTTGAGAACTTATGGTTAAATATTGATTACGCAGATGCTTGTAAAAGTTTTCAAGGGAGGTAGTGTAAATCGGAAGAAGAAATGAAGAGTCAAACAAAAGAGAAAGGAAGCGAGGAGTCGGAAAATTGAAGAGGAGAAATTGAAATATGGGGTCGGGAATGCAAGGGATGAATTCACTCTATAAATTGTCGTAATGGACTTACCTGTAGCGTCGAGCGACTCTAATGAGAAGGAGAGGGGGATCAAGCTACTAGCACAGTGGAGAGTGGTGGTATTGGTGACGAGGTTGGCCTGCTCTACTGTGAAGAGATCGGGCGAGTTGTGTTCAAAATCGAGGGCGGATGGTGTGGCTTATAGAAGGAAGGTGAAGGAGAGGCGCGTGTTTCCTGTTAGAAGGAAGAAGACGAGCCGACTATCTCATATAGAGGAGGCATCGATGTCAGGAGCTCGTGCATGAGGGAGTCAAACATAGAGGAAGGAGAGAGCTGCGCGTCTACGAATTAGGGCTCGATCGGGTTTATAAAAGGTAAAATCTAATTTTTTTTTATTTAATTGTGTGTAAACACACACACATTTAGAACTTTTGGTTAGAATTTTAGATTTGGAGCGAAATAGGAGGGGAATTGTGCGAGCCAGAGGAGGATGAGTGACCCAAGCAAACTTCTGTAAAGAAAAAAATGTGTTTATATTATAATTTAATTAATAAATTTTAGTACTAAAGTAAAGTTAATTAGGATTTCATCAAGAAAATAATGTAAATTTAATAAATATAATTAATTAAAGTTTTGTAATATGAATACTTATGTTTTTTATATGCATCAACTTTAAAATAGTCGACATCAAGACAAATCAAATAACAAGATAAACGTTACCGAGGTGAGCACTTATATTCTTATACTATTGTAATATTTTGCTTCTCATACACCAAATGTATTAATTGTTACTATCACTAGTTATATTGAAATTACTGCAAATTCAAGATTTTGAATTCTATTAAAATTTTATTCATATTGTAGGAATGATATGTGTACTCATCATTATATAAATTTTCATTAATAATGAATGTTATGCAAGTATATTGACTTTTGCGCAAATGAGAATGAAATAATTTTAATAAATGCGAATGAAATAATCATCATCAAGTTGAGTACTCCTGTTTTTATATTATGGTAATATTTGCTTCTTCTAGGCCAAACATATTTATTAATACTATCACTAGTTAGATAGAAATTTCTGCACACTCATGATTTTGAATTTTATTGAATTTATGTTCATATTGTAGGAATGATACGCGTATTCATCATTATCTAAATTATCAAAAATATTGAATGTTATATAAATATATTGGCTGCTAACAAATTAGAATGAAATAATTTAGTAAATGATGATTTTCACAGTATGTTTTTATGTGCATGCTTGATTATGATGAAGTCACGTTATGGTACTAGTGAGAGAATGCTCAGGTACTCATGTACATAAATGAAAAATAATATGGCTATCGAAGTATTTTAACTCGTAAAATTTTTAGTCGGTGCTCTTATGACTTGTACAAATATAGAATGATATAAATATGTTATTGATATAATATTCGTTAAATACATTGAATGATATCATATTCGTTAAATATCAAATATTTATATTAAATTATTATAAAATTTAGCTGACATGCATATTGCTTTCTTTTCTTTTGTATTACTATAGTTTATGAGTACGAGTATTCATTAGCTTGTTTAACTCACTGTTATTTTTAAAATAACTTTTCAAGTTAATTTAATTGATCAAAAGATGAATGATAAAAAAAAATATTTATAGAAGGTGTGGACAACATGTAATGAGGAAAATTTTTTTGTACTACTTTATTTTGATTTGATTAGTGACTCTTTCATTTGTTAAATGTTAAATGAATATAGAAAAACTTAATTTTCACTGTCTAACCGTCTGTAACCGTTTTTGTTAATTCCTAGTCTTGTGTCGGGTCGTGATAGATTGTGTATGATATGGATCTCAGTGGTGATAAATTCATTGAAATAAATATAAAGTTTGAGCAATAGACAAATTGTTCAAAGGATAAGAGGTTTGGGATTAACAAAACATTGGATGATTATACAATTATCATCATAATTAGTATTTGGGGTTTGCTTGATAAATCTCCATTCTCCATTTTTTCGAAATGGAGTATGGAATGTTAAATTTATTGCATGCAACTTCCATCCATGCTATTTGTAGACTACCTCATCTTCGTTCTATTCTTTTGATAATAATTTATTTGTCTTGTTGGTTTAATTAGTATCATTTTTTACATGCCTAAATCCCACAAGTCTATTTTTCGTTAGCTTATCTTTAATAGTTGCTTCATGTTCTCTTTAATATAATCATTTATGAATTCATTTTAGTTTTGTCACTCAACTAAGCTATCATTAATTTCTTGTTTTGCACAACACTAATTTAAAAGAACATAATTGACTTGATTGTAAATTTATTATGTTAATGATGGTAATCTCCACTTATTTTGGTTAGTTAACTCTTGAATATCTTGTGTAGCTGTTTATGTTTGTCTTATCTAAATGTTGGCGTTTACCATGTGCATATGGTTATTTTTTTATTATGTAGAATTTCTTCAACCTTCAAATTCGATTTATCTTCAATAATTTGAGCTCTTATTATGTGAGAATACTTTAATTTCTATTAATGACACAGGTTACATGCATCTTGGCATGACATGAGTCTCATCAGTTCTTAATCATTATGCTTGTTGGTATAATCAAATATTATTTAGAGATTGTTTGGTTCTTTTCTTTTGTAGTGTTAATTAAGCCAAATGCAAAATATTTTAAAATTTGGACATTAGTTTGGATAAAACAGAATGCAGTACAAATTTTGGTTGAATTTAGAATTTAACTTAAAATTTAACACTGTTTTATTATGAATTCGTTAGATTTGAGAAAATTTCAAATGCACTGTAAATTGCAAGTTGTTGATGTCGTCCACGCTCTGTCGCTCGTCATCTTTGTGTATTGTCACTGTCAGGTGCTTCCGACCTCCTCCCATCAGCTTCTGCAGACGGCCACTAGCCACCAGCGGTGTCAAAAATTGACCCGACACATTGACTTAACACGAACTTGACTCGAAAATTTTAAGTTTGGGTTGACTTCAATAATGTTTTAGCCGAATTTAGGTTGGAATCCTAACCCTTTCAGTTTTATGATTCAGGTTCGTGTTATCTCGACCATCTAATGATCCGATTAGGTGAGTTGATGTTATCCGATTAGGTTATGTTAAGAAAGGCAGAGATAGACCTAGGAAGACTTGGGCTTATTGTATAAAAAATGATCTTAATTTATTAGAACAAATTGAAAATATGACACTAAATAGGACGCAATGGAGAAAAAGGATTCATGCAGCCGACCCCACGTAGTGGGATTAAGGCCATGTTGTTGTTGTTGTTCGTGTTAACTTGATCACCCGAAATTGACCCAAAATCGGCTTGAATAGTTGTTATACCTTATGTTAAAAGGATTATATTGGTTAGGTTTAGGTCAAGCATTTTTAGGTCAGACTTGAACCCGATTTGACACCCCAACGACCACCACTTACTGCTTGCATTCGCAAAGCGTTGTCGCATTCCACCACCTCTTGTCGCCACCGCCTGTTGTTTGTCGTCATTCACTGCTGCAACTGACGACCCTTTCTCTCATTTTAGCCTGCCACTCACTAACTGTAGTCGTCGTTGACTGCCTCCACCACTGCCGAACATGTTTTACATAGAATTCTTTTTTCTTCAAACCAAGTACAAAAATATAAACTCTTGCATTTATTTTACACAATTAAAGTATTTTAAATGCATTGCATTCCATTTTCAACAAACAAAACAAACCCCTTAGTATAATTTATGTACTTACTTATTTCATTATTTTGTTGTTTATTTATTGTTTGATTATGTTTTCAAATATATTATGGGTACTATAATATATAATAGGCCAAGGGTTATAATTAGGACGGTCGATGAGGGAATAAATGCTTTCCCTGTCCATCTTCTTTAGTGATCAATTATTATCCTTTTCTTCTACTCAAGAGGTTCTTTTTCTCTCTCTACTTATTTATTTTTATTTTTTTTATTTTTTTAATAACCATTTTTCTTCTCTACGCTCAATGGTTTTTTCCTCTGATCTAAGTATTTTTTTTTTCTGTAATCATGATTTTGTTTCACCTATTACATGCTCTTCAGCAACCGCTCTGAAATTTAAAGTTCTTGAAATGACTGAGTACTCCATGAAAAAAAATAATTTTAATTTTTTATTTTAAGGTTTTAATAGATCAAAGCATCATTTGCTTCTCTTTTCCGAAGTTTTTTTTTTATTCTCTTCTTACGCCTTTGGCTCTTTTTATAACTAATTTGAAATCTTTAGCATTTTCTTCCCCTCGATAAATCAACAAATTGTGAACTCTTACACATTTAAAACATTAGTGTCACAACTCAACTCGGTACTTGGAGTTAGCCAAGCGAGATGCGCGGTCAGACGGTAGAATTAAATTGTTTGTTATTTTATTTCAACTAGGTACTTGGGATACTGTGTTCGTGTTCACTAGTTGACTCGAATTAAATATTATTAAAGTATGATGACTTTATTTTTTAGTAGACTTGAACTTAACATGAACCCTATACAACCGAGTCACACTCGAGCCCGACCTAAATCTTACACGAGTTGACTCAAATTGACTATTTTATCAAATTTTATTCAATTTTTCATTCCGAAAGTCCAATATTATCTTGTCTAAAATTTTTTTTAGTATATCATAGTCAGGCCATCATGTCAAGTCCCTTATAATGACTACAGAGCAAGTGGTTATTGGGCACACATCATCATCAATGTTCCAACAATCACTAAAATACTCTTTTTTGAAGCTGCAGGTAGTTCCTTCTCCACATTCAATTGGGGCCAGCAGCCCTATTTATTGCAGAGCTTGAACACATCAGATGCTACCATCAGAAGTAACTCGTTTCTCCAACATATCTCCACTCATCAACAATCATCAAATTCTATTTCTGCTGCACTTCCTGAATTCCAAGATAGGCATTTTACACCTTACTTCTAAATTACAATTACCTAACTTTTTGTTTTTTTGCATGAAATGCTAAGATTTCTCAAGCTATGATGGTAATTTCAATCTTAATACATTCATGGATTGATTTAGAACTTTTCTGATCCATTTAGATAAATAATTAATTTTAATCTCTCTATTTTCTCTATTTTTTTCTCATTTTTGGGTAATTTTTTTTGTTGTATTTGATTATTGTTAGATATTTAACTCTCTAAATATAAAAAAAAGTTATATTTGAATTTGAAAATGTAATTTTTTATTGTTATGAATAATGGCCACTTATAGGGAAGCAATAGTTAGATACTTTAAAGCAATCATCATCATTTGTTGTCTGGTGGATTCAACCCCTTTCTCTCTAGGAGGGCCTTCGTGTGGAGAAAATTACGTTGAGCCACTTACGGATGATGAACGCGATACACTGGCGAGGTTTTTTCTTTTTATTTTTCTGTCGGTGTTGGTGTATCGCATTCGTCGTCTTTACATAGCTCGCGTGCGCATGACGTAGGCAAAATTTTTTCCTTCGTGTGCGGTGTATCGCATTCGTCGTCTTTACATAGCTCGCGTACGCATGACGTAGGCAAAATTTTTTCCTTCGTTTGTGTGCGTGTGCGTGTGCGTGTGTTTGTGTGCGTGTGGTGGTGATGGTGGCAGCTAAGATAACACTGAAGATGGTGGCATGGTGGAGGGTTTGGATGGTCGATCATAACCATCCTTGCAATATGTAACACTTAAATTTGGTGTATAACTTATGCATAAAAGTGTGTTTCATTTTAAAACATAAATGATAGTATTTTTTATGTAATCTGGCATTGGAGTATTATGCTTGTAAATTTGAAATTTTAGGTCTTAGATGTGTTAGTAGGTCTGAATTGTGTCGTTTTGCATGTAAATGCCTTGTTAGATTCATTTTGAGACGAGCTTAATATTCTTATTTATTAATTTGTATTTTTACATGGCCGTCATATATGATATATTATTGGCCTACTCTATTTAGAGATGTTAATATATATATATATATATATATATATATATATATTCATGAAAATTTATGTGCATACCACTCGATTTTTATGTAATTAAATATTTGACACCTATGCTTTAACTTTTACATGCTGCCTTATTTATGTTAGAAAATGTGTATTTCGCTTTTAAAAGTTAAAATGAGAGTATTTTTGATGTGGTATGAAAAATTTTGGGTGGTATAAATGTAAAAAATAATGTCTAGTTATCAGACATGTAAATACCACCTTTTCTATGTATATCTATGCAAATGTGCTTATGGTACAAATGAAGAGATTTTGTATTTAAATTGAATATAATAGGATGAAAAATATGCATATATTTGAAATATTTTCTTGGTGTGGTGGTGATGGAAGACATGATGATGGCGGCGGTAATGGTAGTTGGTGGGATGAAGGATGGTGGTCTTTGATGGCAACAACATAATTGATGGTAGCTGTTTTTGAAAAAAATTAAATATATCTAAAAATTATTTTGATTATTAATAAAAAAAAAAAAAGAGAAATACCTTTTCTTAAAGCAAAAGTAAGATTTGAAAATAATCCCAAATAGATTCTTAGGGTTTTCTTATATGGGTAGGTCGGTCGATAATATCTTGGTTTGGGGCAATTAGGGTTTGAATTTTTTCTCAAAGATGATTAAGAAGCATATAAGGTCTTTGGAGGGGTTGGATTTGATATGGAGTTTGGAATTAGACAACATAAGGATCACCCTATGATGAGATTATGTCAAACTTAAGAGTCGTAATTTGCACTTCAAACTTTAGTGTGGTAAAATGAGATAACACGAGGCCTTAAAATCACTTGAAAATGGTAGAGGGGTAAGCCTAGATGTATTATGTAAAATTTAAAAATTGTTCAACAATCATAAATAGTTTTTGGCGATGCTCCAAATGAGCCAAGATGAGCAGGTGCTTGTTATTTATAAAAACCTTTTGAGGTTCATCTTTTCCAATAAAAGAAAGACTTGGATGGATACTTAACATGTAACGTATAAAATGACCAAACATAAAGAGATAAGTAAAAGCAAACACAATATGCATAATGGTTGAACATGTGAGGAGATTTCATCATGCGATGTAGATTTGCAAGTCTTGCAACATTCCAACGAAAAAAAAACCAATTTGATGATGAAAACTAAATCATTGTAAAGATAGCCATGATCCTAAATATTAGTGAGGCCTAGCATGCAAGCAATGTAGGTCTATGAAATTAATTAATGTAAGCACAACAATGACACTTATAACTTTGCCCTACATAGGCCTATGCATGCCCTTTACTTGGACTTACAGTCTTAACTAGAAAGCATAACCAGCTAGACCCATCTAATCACATTGCTGACATCATTTTTTTTGTACTTCGAGGTCATCACCATTTATGAGACACCACAAACACAATTTTTCTCATTCCATGGAGTGAAAAAGTGAACTTGAATTGGGTGACCCAGTGCCTTTGTTCGGTGCCCTGATGTCATTCGTGTAAGTGTGCTCATTAGATGACCTGTAAAATACTAATCTTGAGCCAAAATGTTGTATTACAACTTTGTGTTGACCAATGCTTGTAATGAGTGCTAGGGCCCACCAGAAGGATTTTAATGGATGTTTTGGTGGTAGGTTGACTAGATTTGACCTAGTTCCTTAGTGTTGGAATCTGGCATTGCAACGCTCCATAAATATCATTGAAGGTGTCCATTCACAACAAACACATGATAAAATGAATCATTAAAATTATTGGATCAATGCCTAGACATTGTACCCAAGCACCGGGACGCCAATCCATTTATAAATATGGAGCTGGGGCACTGTGAAAGTTTCACTCATACCGTGGCTTCTACAAAATTCTCTCTTTTCATTCTAAAACCTTTCATGAAGTCTTGCATTAATTATGGCCTCATGCTTAACAAGAGAAAGGAGGACAAAAGCTGGTTTTGATTAGTTGATGCGACCTACTTTGTGAGTTCCACAACACAAGATTAGTACACCGGAGTGTTGGCCTCCCACAAGCTAATTTTAGAACATGGCTTATTCTTGCCTGGGTGGCCCCATGGAGGAGACAATACAACAAAAGAGTTGGGAGTCCTTTGTTGTTGAACCTGGTACTGTCGTCGTTCATATCATTCAAGATTTCATGGCAAGTGCTAAGGCACCTAAGACAACAAGGTCTTTGTCTGGCAAAACTAGTCCCTTACGAATGAGTGGCCATCAACAACATGTTCGACCTGGTTGGATATGATGTTGATGGATACACCCATTTCCTGGACTCTAGTCTGAATTTTGGCAGGATCCATCGATGCCTCAGATGACCTAAATTTAAGGCCTACTGATTGGCATGAGTGTGAAGAGCAACTCCTTCACTTCCCCTTTGTAGCTTGACTCGTGAGTTTAGAGCATGACTCCTTTTTATTTCCACCCGAATTTTGTCAAGCTTGCATTTGAGTGGCATTTGAGAGCTGCACAAGCTATGAAAATATTTGTAGGGCGCGAAGGCCAGAGTTTGAGAGCCACATGAGCTATGATAACGTTTGTAGGGTGTGGAGGCCATATTTTAGAGTTGCATGAGCTGTGAAAACATTTATAAGTTGTAGAGGTTGAATTTTGGGGGATGCAGGAGCTGTGATAACGTCTATAGGTCACAGAAGCTGGAGAGGAGCTGCAGAAGCTGTGATATTATTTGTAGGCCACAAAGACTAAAATTTGGGAGCTGCACGAGCTATGATAACGTTCATAGACCACATCAACTTGAGTTTGGGAGTTGCATGAGCTGTGATAGCGTTCGTAAACTGCAGAGGCCGAAGTTTGGAGCTACATAAGCTATAATAATATCGTTAGGGTCTCAAAGTCGTTAGGAGCTGCATGAGCTTAGATAACATTTGTAGGCCTTAGAGGTCGGAGTTGAGAGCTACATGAAAATAGCTTATAGAGTTCGAAGGAAGTCATTGTGAGTACGATGATTTTAAGCGGTTATTGCGGGGTGCGTTGTTACACTGTCTTTGGGACACATCATTGCACCGTATGCTGGGTGCATCATTGCACCGTATGTAGAAAACATTGTTACGCCGTATGCAAGGCTCGTCCTTATATTATCTTCGGGCTACGCCACTGCTCTGCTCCATAGGGTGCTTTGTTGCTTCGCAACGTACGTCAAGTGTCCACAGCGCACGCTATGATTCCAAAAAGGGCTTCGTTACAACTAGCAGGGGACAACCGCAGTGGTCGATCCCAGTTGCCGAGCGATGGTCGACAATGGTCAGCATTTGCTGGACCTTTGGTTTGGAACACTAGACCTCATTTCCTTCTCCTCAAAGTTCCAGGCTTCCTATGGTTCAAGGTCAAGGTCCTCTTTCCACTTTCATACAGGGGGTAGTGCTTTATTTATAGAGTCTGAGAGAGGTTTCCCTATAAATAAGAAAAGAATTCAAACCACTCAATTGAATAGTCGGAAGAGTGCCTTAATAATGTCTGAATTGAGTGATCATAAACTCATTGTGTTCATCTAGTCGAGACGTTCGATCGACTGTAAGTTTGTCAGATTTGGATTTTTTTTAACCTCACAAATAACACTAAAACTTTTAAAAATGGCTTAAGAACTTGATCTAGATTTGATTTGTTTTATATCTGACCAACTTTGTTGTCATTATGCTCATCTCATAGAGCCAATCAGTTTGATTTGACGTTTACCTCTATCTGAAACTTGGATGATTTTTCATCGAAGTTTCAATCTTTTTTTAGCTCAAAAAATTACCTCGAGATTCATGCTATGCCTCAAGATCCGTATTTGATGAAGTAAAATTAATTTAATTTTTTTTATTTTTAATCATTATTAAAAAATAATTAGTAAATCACAAAATTATTTAATCATTAATAAAATTTTATTAAATTAATTTATTTTCCAACAATAATCTTATTTCTTACTAATCATTAATTAATATTAATTAATATTAACTTAATTAAAATTCTTTTAAATCCCCAATCCCTCACTCGCTTTCGCTGGAAACCACCTTACTTCCTGAAACCCTCGCGGTAGTCGCAGGGTTTAGAGATCACTGAAACTCCTTCACTCTGCTCCTACCCGATTAACCATTGTCTTTCTTCTCTTCATTTCTTCTCCCCGCTTTCCCATGCTTTAGCTCCTCTAAACCCCCTAAATCCACCTTCCAACTGGTTTTACTAAATTAGGATTTCAAGCTAAAAAGAAGGAGAAAGGGATCACAATTAGAGCTAGCTAGGATTTTTCTAACCCCGAAACCATGGCCTTCGTGATCGAAACCTCGCTATTCCTGGGAAGGCGACGACGGGATCGCGGCATGTAGAGACCACCGAAACTCCATCCTTGTCCTCCTTCCGCTCAGCTGCTACCCGAAACCAGTGAGGAAGGTAATCTGTTCTTACCATTCTTTCTCTTCGCTCTTCTGGGATTTACTCAATCCGCCGATTGGAGGGATTTAGTGAATCTGGGATTTAAGGCCGAAACCTGGATTTATCAAATCGGTGCTTTATTTTGTCCAAAACGACCATCTGAGAAGATTTAGGTTAAATCTAGGTTGAATCCCGCTCTAGATCCATTACCAGACAGGCCCTTAATGGCTGTTTGGTATCCTATTTTACGCTGGATTTGAAAAAGATTGGCTTATTCCCACCATATAAAATGCTTGGGACTTCAATTTCTATTTATTTATTATTTTTTTCAGATTTAACAGATTCAAATTAAATTAAACAGTCAAAGAACTTAATTAGATTCAACAAATGTGATGTCAAATAATTATCAGGTTTTAATTGTTATATAAGAATTCACCGAATATGCTAAGTCCTAATTGAAGCCGAACAGTTTTACTGTTTGGGACCTAAATCCTGCTCAAATTCTTCTGCCAAACAGCGCTGAAAGTTGCTCTCGTATGGCTTTTCAGCCGAAGGTATCCGCCCTAATCCTGGTTCTAGCTTCTGCTTCCGCCGTACTCATCCTTTTACTCCTCTTCCCCTCTCTCTCGCCGTCCTGCTCTTGTTCTTCTTCTTCCCTGGAAATCACCGACATTGGTGGCCGCGGCGACAACGGAATGCGGGAACAGATCGTTCCTACCTCTGAAGATATAAAGTGGCTCCGTTCTCAGATCCACTATAACTCTCTCCTCGATCCATCCGACACCCCCCACGCCTGGCATTCCCTTCGCAAAGGCATCAATCCCCGCAGCCGCGAACAGCAGCTCGACGATCTCTTGAGGTGATCCGCTGCTGAATTTTTTTATTCCCTTCTTTTTTCTTGTAAATCGCTTTGTCAAACCTAGGCTTTGGGCATCTCTATAATTTGTAAGCAAGTCTTTTCCGATTTTGTTCATCTATTTTTCAGATTCAAGGGCATTTCACACTACGAAGATGCAGGAAAAAACCACACAGCTCTGCCTTGCCCGGGTGAGCTGCTGGTGGAGGAGCACCACAGTAACTATGGGGAACCTTGGGCTGGTGGTCGTGACATCTTCGAGTTCCTTGCATCTGCCATTGCTCTCCAACCCTCTGATCTTGTACTGGAAGTTGGTTGTGGCACTCTTCGTGTCGGTCTCCACTTCATCCGGTACCTTGATTCAGGTCACTATAATTGCCTAGAGCGAGATGAACTCTCACTCCTTGCAGCTCTCCGCTATGAGCTTCCCTCACAGGGGCTCCTTCATAAGCGCCCACTCATCCTTAGAGGGGATGATATGGATTTTTCCCGATTTGGAGCTGACAGTTCGTATGATTTGATATATTCCAGTGCAGTTTTTCTCCACATTCCTGATCAGCTTGTTTGGGTTGGTTTGGAGAAGTTGGCTGCGAAGCTGAAACCAGTGAAAGGGAGGATCTTTGTTTCACATAATATCAAGTTTTGTTCGAGGATTAAGGAGGAGTGCCCCAGGAGACTTGAGAGGATAGGGTTGCAGTATGTTGGGAAACACACTCATGATAGCTTGTTGTTTAATCATTATGAAATATGGCACGAATTCAGAAAGCCTGTAAAATGAGATCCACTTTGTAAGCCATACAGTTTTTAGTGTTGGCTGGTTTTGTTCTCTGGTTCAGGCAGGTGTGTGAAAGCTGATAATGTTTCACATAAGGTATTGACCCTTTTTATTGTCACTGATCATGTAGTTTTGCTTAGGTGTCTAAGTATATATTTGATGAGAGCTGCTTTGTTATTGCGATAATGTTTTGTGGGTTAAATTTTGTAATTTTTATTAGTCACAGAAGTGTGCTTAGTTAAGATTGTTTTCACACCTTAATATTTACTTAATTTATGTAACGGTTTTGGCTTTTCTTTTCTTTTTTTTTTTACAAGTTTTATGAATTAAGAGCCATTTGTAGTTTGCTCAAAATAGCTCGGTTTGTAGTTATGTAGGTGTTTTTTTTAACTTGATTAATATGGTTACCAAGGATACTGCTCCTTCAAAAGAACTTATCCTAATGATTACAGTGCTATATCATTAAATAGAAAAAAAAAAATTGATGTTTGTGTAATTACTATTTGCTTTGTTACCTTTGTTTGGTTAGTTGCTGTCGTGAAAATTTTGCATATGCTTTTCATATAGTTCAAATATCTTTAACAGAGTGAAGCAAAAAACATCGCTAATGTCTTTCTTCGATAATACATGATGAAATGAATCCAAGGCCTTAGATTAGAAAAACCTAATTTAAGTTTCACATGCCAACTTTTGGCAAACTTGTTTCGATGAACCTAATTCAAGACTCCTCTCACAAGGTATTTAGTATAGAACAAACTTGTTGTGAAACAAATCAAGATACCTCTTACGAGATATGTAGCATAACAAATGAAGGTTGAAAAGGAAAATTTGAGACTTCCAACTAAGCTCCATCTATAACCAGATGATCAATGAAGTTATGCTTGCTTTCATTCACTCAATTCAAAATGTAATGTTGTGATTTCTTTTTCTGTCAAATCCAACTATTCTTGTCACGACCTGGCTTAGGGCTTAGAATTGACTAAGATGGGAACAAACACTAACAAAATTTAATATCCAACTATTAATTGAAAGAGACACTAAAGAAAACAAGTAAATTGATCAAATAAAAATAGTTACCTTTTAGAACTGGTCTTCTGCACACATTGTTTCCTCTTCTATTTATCTTTTTAAGAAGTTTAAAATCTGGAAAAAATTAAAATAACACAATGAGTAATCTAAATATAACTTAGGAGCAAACACATTTCTAAACTATAATAACCTAATGAATAGAAAGTAATATTCTTGTTGTTTCTTCATATTTCTATAAAAATCTTATAATAATCTAATGTATGTGTCGATGACATTTAATGGAAATAACTTAAACTTCTAAATGCATTAACATTAACTTCACTTTCAAAAATTTGGTTTTAAATTTACTTTTTTTTAAATTATTAACATTCACATCTGTCTTAGGAGCACCGTCAAAACATAACCTAACACACCCTTGATTGATATTTACCCGTTGTCATAGCAACTCGTGATCTAATTTACATAATTGTTTGAGGTGGAAATGTGTATACTCACCCCTAGTTGATATTCTCTTGTCGACATAGTGATTAGCGATCTAAACATCACAATTAGCTAGGGTGATAGAAAAACATCTTATGTGCGTGGGATAAGAGAGTGAACTCTTTCTCGTAGCATACACATACAAGCATTCATATATGCACTACTCCATTCTTCATATCATACATTTTTATGAGACATCCTATGAGACAACATATGTTTATCTACTAATAAAATATAGATTTACTAACTCCATAGGTCATAAAATAAACTAATTTTTTTCTAAAATAAACTATTATGAAATTATTAAAACAACAATATTAAACATGCATACTTTATGATTAACAATATGAAGAATCATATTTGATATTTCAATGGTATACAATATAACAATTAATACTATAAGTAGGAATATATTTAAAAATATAAAATATTACTGTAATTTAAAAGTGCAATTACTCGCCTCAAGATTTTTACCATTCTACTCATATAGATCATCCAATTTAATAACTTGAACTTTCCAAAGTGTCATGTCATTCATTAAAACTTACTATTCACATTTTTCAATCTCAATTAATATTAATTTAACAATTCAAATCAACTTACATAAATAACAACATCCAACCTAATAATTACCTTAATCTTTTTCTTATGCCAATCCCAGTCACTACCAAAATTTCCTTATTTAATTGCTTGTCACCTTAATCTCTATCATAAGTTTAATATAATCTAATAATATCAAACTAAATTATATATATATATATAGTTATTTATTTATTTATTTGTAATTGATAAACCATAACACTAAGCTTACCATTCTCTTTGGTTGTTTGACCTTCCCGCAGGAAGTCCCCTTCTCGCATGAGAGTCGTGACCTCCCTTCTCTTCCTCCGCACAACCAAGCGTTCTCCTTCCTATCGCAACACTCGCACAAGAGCCACTCGACTAGCGTTTGTTGAGGCCGGCTCTCCGCTTCAAGGCTCGGTCTGTTATCCTCCTTCATGGACAAAGCTACCAACCTCTTCCCTTCCTTTGCACGACTAGGGCACAATGTCGAATCTGTGGTAAGAGAAACACATGACTCCTCTCCTTAGCTTTTTCTGCTGCGTGAACCTTGGCTAGGGTTTCTACCATCACCACTTCCTTCTCACAAGCAATCAAACGTGATGTCGTCTTCCTTTGTACAGGACAACGTCTCCTCATTTGGCTAGGGTTCCTCCTATTCTCCTTCTTTCTTCCTTGTCTGTCTCTCATTCTCGCCTCTCGCTCTTTCTGATTCGTTCGATCTCTGATTGTTACGAATGAAGATGCTCAACTCCTTAAATCTAGGCCTGTTAAAATTTATTTTCCTAGATTTCATTTTTTTATATTTTTTAGTTATATATATTTATATATTTATTATTATTTTATATGATTATTACAATCTCCCCTCATATAATCTAATTTCACCGTCTGACCGTCCACTCCTTTTTTGTTTAATTTCAAGCTTCGGACAGGGTCACAAAAATTATTAACCAAAATAGTTGCAATACTAGACAATGGTGACGTTGAAGATGTTAATGACGACAACATTTAGTTTGCTTATATTCTACATGGAGAGACTTGTGTTGTAAATACTTGAAAACTTTTCTTGTAGAAAAAAATTGATATGTTGTGGTTTTAATCTTTATTTCTAGCTTTAATGAGAGTCATTTTATCGTGTGAAGTGATGTGGTGATCGAACACTCTCAAAGGTGTGTGGGTACACTAGTAATAAGGTAGTGAGTAAGTGCATCATTCCACATAGATTGAAATGCCAAGTCCTAAAATTGAGATGATTTAGTACCATCAATGCTATCAAAATGGGGATGATGATAAAATTCTAAACTAAATTACAAGCTATTATATGATAATATTAACGGATTAATTACTAGAAGACATAAATTTTAGGGATTAGAAATCATTAAGGCTGAGGTCTAGGGATTGTATTTCATGTAAATTCACACTTGGGATTATGTTCTATAAGAATAGCAGTTGCACAATTAATATTGAGGTTTAACCAGAGGTTGTTACATTTCTTTTGAAAGTTTAGTGTTTTTATTTTCTCTACACATCTTATCTACCTCTTGGTGATCGAGTCATTTCAAAAAAAAACCATTTACTCTTTTTGAATCTTAAAATGGACTACATGGGTTCACCATAATTATCTCTAATTTATGATCTATCAACACGGTATTTGATTTAAGATAAGTTTGCCCTCCAAATATGAAATTAAAACAAACTCCTATCAATTGATGGTCAAACAATTCATAGGCCATTAAGCATTCAACAAAGAAAAACAAGCAACACATGAACTCCCAAAAGATATATTGAAAATAAAACCACCATAGTGGTTACATCTCATCTCTAGAAATGGGATTAGTTCAAAATGAAATAGAAATAAATCACATTTATAGAAATAAGCATGATAGATAATAAACCTAAAAAAGAGAGAAAAAAAAATCGGTTTTGCATGCTCTCATTTCCCTTTTCTAGCCTTCAATAACCTAGTAAGGGTTATTGATCTAGAGCTTGAGCACATTAATAACACAAGCTTTGATCTCACTAGACAATCGAGAAAGAAAAAAGTATGACCTTTTTTAAAATGGCCAAAAGAATGAAGGTGAATTGCCAGATAGTAGTTGATCTTCAGTCTGGCTAAATTGAAGACTCAACTTTGTAAATGGTTGGTTCAATCAGTTTCGAAAACTGTCCTATTGTCATTATTTGGTTTTACATAACATATACCTCACTGCATCGATATCTGGTCAGGATCCATGGAGAGCTTTTCTTCTCCTCAACAATCATGTCAAGAAGAAATCCGGCGACGATTCTAAAGTTGTTCTCGGGAAAAAGCTAATGTAATTGCTTTAGAACTTTGATTAAGATGACATCTTTGTTTCTCTGGTCGTTGAAAATGACTTGGATTTCATCATCATTGTTGCCAAATTCTTGTATTGAGGAGAAGGGAATAACATTTGAGCTATCAAACTATTGATCCACGACAGAGATTGAGTATGGGGAGAACTCCCCCACGGGATTGGTAGTTTCAATGACCAGAGAATTTTAGTTTGAAATCTATCGCTTCCGTCGGGGGAACTCCCATGCGGGAGATGCCCTGCGTCACTAGAATCATAGACAACATAATTCACAGAAAGTTTTACTCCCCTCTGCTGTAAAAGCAGTTAAATAATTTGAAGCTATAGATTTCAGGCTAAGCAAATATTTTAGTTTCGTGCTATTAAGCAAATGCTGCAGTCTTAAGAATGATCACCAAGGATAGCCAAATGTTTCAGAACAAATGATGAAAAAAAAAAAAAGGATGAACAAGGAGTGCAAATATTACAAGAAGACAAATGAGCATATAGCGATAAATATATCAAAAGTAAACAAAAAATCATCACCATTAGCCTTAACCCAAGCTACTTATAGTAGTTGTATAAGTAAAAGGGCAACGAAATACCTTATAGGAATATGGTTGGCTTTCTTCAGACCTCATATTATTCAATGCTGCTTAAAATGTCTGTTCAATTTTTTATTCAACAGAGCGTGAGATAGCTAGGATTTTTCAGAGTGGCTACAGTTTGTGCATTTTACAGTAGTTAAAAGGTAATATAAGACGCCTCATTTTGGTATAATCTGACAGAATTTCCTTCACTCGATAGCATACTATAAACCTTGCTTGGCTTTGATTTGACAACCTTGTACCATACTTGCTGTTTGCATTTCACATTTTTGGGCAGCAGTGCTCGCATTAGTCACCAATAATGATGATAATTATCAGTAGTCATGTCAGCTTTTCTGGATTTAGTGCAAGGTGTAGACAGAGATACTCATATGTTCCTAGGTATATTAGTAAATTGCTGCCTTTGGAGTATAAGTGTAAAAATTGCCTTCACCTAAAAAATGAAAATACCATGAGTATGAACAACCAACAAACATAGTTAAGAATAAACGGATTGCCAATTTTTCAAAATGAAAAATTACAACAAAATTGCTAAAATTATCTAATCAATATCAATTCACAATTTTGGGTCATTTCTTCTTTTTTTTATTATTAAATCTTAACTAATTCTAATCATATATATATATATATATATATATTTAGCGTTAGTTATGTAAATAAATATGAATTTGGTGGTATGTATGTAAATGCCCCAGAAATATATATATAAATATATTTCTTACATTTATATAATCCAAACCTTTCATATCACATAAACAATTCTGCCATTTCAACATAAAAAAGTGAAATACACCTTTTCATGCATTGGTAAGGTGGTATCATGCATTTGCATTGGTAAGGTGGTATGTATGTAAAAATTGAAGTTTAGATGTTAGATATGTAAATACATAGAGATTGAGTGGCATGCATGTAAAACTTCCTATAATTTTCTATAAAAAGAAAATTGACAAATATTCCAATTTCTATTCTAGAATTTGATCTTGAATGTCTCCTTCTTTGACCGTTCTTAAAATCCCAACCAGAAATTTAGAAGAATATATTTGGGGAATTTTTTAAGCATCAAGCACTTGCTATTAAACAATGCTCAATCTATAAGTTCTGTCTGGATGAAATATGTTTGGGTTACTTTCATATGTTACTCCAAACGGTACAAAACAATCATGAAAAGGTACATCTACAGTATGATCCTTCACACCTGTAGCATATCAAGAACGTAAAGGTACATCTACAGTATGATCCTTCACACCTGTATCAAGAACGCCACTTAGAAAAAGTTGAACAACCTGACTATATTATATTGTGTGATTTAAGTTTTATTCAGTATTACCTTGTAGCTAACTTTGAACATTTTATCAGCATTACTTATTACTCAGTTTTGCGTGCATTTTTTTTATTGTTTATAGCTGAGCCATAATGTTTGAAGAAGTGTCAAACTATGATAGTTTTGATTACGAGGAGGAGTGGCTTTCAATTAATGAGTTAATATGTTGTGCTCAATTTTATAATTTACATCCTGCATCAACATGCTTGATGAAATGATTATTTTGCATTATATTTGAATATGAGGCCATATATGACATCAACTCATACTTGGGATAAATGGGTATGTGAACTTCTATGTGATCATTGATGAGATTTCAAAATATATTCAAAATGTTATAAATAATATTTAATGATTTACTTGATTGCTTGAATCATCTTATTATTTACATGAATCACAGGAAACAACTTGTAGAGAAGTGCTTGCCATTATATTATGACATATAATGAAGTAATTAAAGTAAACGTTTCCAACACTCGACAGAAACAATAAGTAGATTTTTTTTTTGTCTTCAAGCATAAAGTTATCAATGAATGTTATAGCATCGACAGATAAGCAAATCTGTGATATTCCCGTGAAATTTTTGGCGATGCACCTTACATGACATATTTTAAAAATAGCTTTGGAGCTATAGCACATATGTTGATTCTCTCATTCCTGTTGAGGAGCAAATAACTTACATAGGTTAACATAATTCAACAGCAAAAAACGCAACAACTGTAACTGATTATAATATGTATTTCATATTTATTGCACCGGCATTGGAGATTTCAACTAATGATGCTCTTATTTTTTAACCTACTATGAGGGATCCAAAGTGTATTTTTTCAGCAACACCAGATTTTTTTATGTTAAAGATAGATGATTTTTTTATATATATATCTTTAAATTTAGTCTTTCGTTAATTTAAATATTTAATATAGAGGAAAATTTTATTTAGTTGATATTGTGTATTGAGGGAATATCTCAAGCCTCATCTAGAAATAAGTTATGGCATATAAGATTTTGTACGAGGAAGTTGGCATATACATGGGATACTTAAAGAGGACTTATTCTTCACTTTGAGCCATTGTAGAATGTGCATTTTGTGCCTGGAAGAAAAAATACTGAATTTTTATAGATGCCTAATTATTCCTTCAAAAAATGACTTATTGTGGTGGTAAGGATGATATTACATAACTAAATATGTAGGCATCGATCATAAATTGATCCGGAGTTTAAGACATGTGATGCTGATAATCAATTTATCCATCCAGAGGCACATGAGGTTAGAGTGGGATTGCATATTGATAACAACATTTAGCACAAATTTTGATCCAAATGTGGATGAGGATGGGGAAGATGCAGAGGAGATGATTACATTTAGAGATATTGTTGTCGTCCACTTATATAATTCAAATTTGTAGAGTATAAGTACATATCAGCTTATGTATTTTCACATCTTATTAGTATCGGTACTTTTATCATTAATGAACTTATTTCTTAATATATTTTTTTAACGTACATTGTTGTATTTATATTTCAGGATTGACGGTTGTGTTGCTCTTAAGCTAGAAATTGAATGTTTTACCATGTGTTTCGATTTAGCTCATGTTTCAAAGTGAGTATAAACTTTTTTGCTTCGATTAAACTTCAAAACAATATTAATAAAGATGTCATTATACAGAAAATGTTGGTCTGGAAGTAATGAACTATGTAGTTGCTTTATTTGTTTATTTCTTCCGTTTCTGGAGAGGTATTTAATATTATTGTCTATCTTAATTGACTTGTTCTATAACCCATGCATTACAATAAGGGGGTTTTATGTATCTAGCACAGGAATCTAATGTATTTAATGATTTTTCATTGTTCATACAATCTAATTTATTTACACAATTGATTTTACATGTATTCTTGTAAGGTGAATACAAAATCCTACATACATGCCTCATAAATCTTATTTATTTGTGTATCTAACCTCTAAAATTTCATATTTATGTTTATAACACATTGTGTATCTAACATCTAAATCAATGTTTTGAGTTGCAAGCTTTTGTGTCTAGCTGATTTTTATTCTTGTTTGTATATATTTCATTTTTTTGTCATTATCTTAATTAAGGGCCAATTAGAATCAATTTTGTTTTTTTGTTTTCTATCATATGTTTTTATTTTCTTTTGTTTATGTTTTGATTTGAAACAAAACATGTTTTGGTATGTTGGATTAAAATATGATTGTATTTTAAAACACTCAAAACACCTAAAAGTTATTTGGGTGTTTTCAAAAATATGTTTATTTTTTTTTAGAAACAAAAATAAAAACATATAAAAACTAAATAAACATGTTCTTAAAAACAAAATAAAAAATAAAAAGAAAAACATTAAACAAAATTGATCCCAAAGAAGCCCTTAGTAAAAAAATTATGACAAAAACAGCTTTTCTGACATGTCAAAATCTATTCCCTTGGAAACATTGGACTTCATTCTCTGTCTGAACATCACATCTCTTATGTTGGCTAAGGACATAAATCAAATTGTTCTTGGATTTGTCTGGTATAAAATATTCAAGTACATTATCTGAATTCTGGAGGAAGTTGCTGCATGCTTGTGTTTTGTTGTTTAATGTTCCCTGATCTTCTTTCATGGCTTGATACATCAAGTGATCTGTAAAGCGCATACATATATTTTAAGTGACATTGGTTTTTCTTATAACAACGTATTTGAAGATAAGCCATATGATTATTCATGGCTTGATACATCAAGTGATCTGTAAAGCGCCTACATATATTTTAAGTGACATTGGTTTTTTTTATAACAACGTATTTGAAGATAAGCCATATGATTAGACTAATTTTGCTCATGAAAACAACAAAATCTATCAGTGAAGCAGACCCTATGGAGCAGCCAGAACATTTTGAATCTGATCATATATATATATTTCGGTTCTCATATCAGCAACAAAGTTGCAATTTTATATGGAGCTCTAGGAATGAAATTCTTCCAATAATTTCTCCTTGCTCTAGCCGAAGCATTGAAGAAGGTATCAAATTAACATTTTGTGCTTTTTGATAGTATCATTTAAGAAGATTTGTGATCACCAGCCTTGCTTTAGCAGATTTATTTCCTCTTTAGCAACTTGTTGCAATTTTTTTATTTGGCACATTTGATGTATCATTACATGGCACACAAAACAAGAAATTTTCTTCTATGGTCATGAGGTGAAAGCAAAAGTAGACGATTGCGTCTATTTCATGAATTAGAATTTCTTAGAATGATTTTATTATAGTTTTATGAAAAGTTATGATTGCTTCTATTTTCTCCAGCTTGCCCCTGAGTTGTGTCTATATAGGCTGCTCAATTCCTTAAGGGTCCGTGTGATCAGTTATGGCCTGAAAAATGGTTGTTTGCTACGATAAACCTGTACTTGCTAATTAGAACGTTGAGACACCCAGAAATCAGGTTTATAGTGAAGTGTGTGTGTGTGCGCGCGCGCGCTATGTGTGTATTCATTATGTGGCCTGTTAGTAGAGCAGTCTCTTTGAAGGTCGGAAGTCTCCTCAGATCAGTGTTCGAATCCCCCCCATGTGTAAGGTCTGGTACTCATATTTAGCACACCTAAAGATGGTACTTAAAAAGTTACAATTACTATTATTTATCATTATTTTTTTAAACAAAAGTCAGACCAGTTTCACACGCAAATTTTTTGAAAAAGCTTGGAGCACACTTTAGGCATTTTTTTAAACAAAAGTCAGACCAGTTTCACACGCCAATTTTTTGAAAAAGCTTGGAACACACACTTTGGGCGCGGTGGTGTTTTGAAAACGCATCTGACCTGTTTGGTAAGCTATGTTTTGACAGCTTATGTGTTTTGAAAACGCTGAAAATAATATTTTCAGACCGTACTTATCTAGGTGTGGTGGCAATTTCATGACAGTATGTTTTGAAAACGCTGAAAATAATATTTTCAGACCGCACTTATCTAGGTGTGGTGGCAATTTTATGACAGTAGTCTGACTTTTCAAAAAAAATAATATTTTGTAATAGCCATCTCACCTGGCTTATTGGCAGATTATTTTTAATCAGTTTACCAACAGATTATTCAATAAGCTGCAGCTGTCCTAAATAGACGCTTTGTCTAAACGCCTGTGAGTTGTGACAATACCGCCATGACAGTACCGCCACCACACTGCTATCTCAAATGCACTGTTAGACATAATTGATACTCCATTTCTTGTGCCAAAATTTATAATTAGGCTTCAAAGGCTATATTTGGTCTCCTTTGATGCACACATCAAATAGTTATAGTGAAATAGTAATTAGAAAAATATAAAAATAATTAAAAGAAAAAGTTTAAAAGACTTTTATCATTACATTGAAAAATCATATTTTTGTCATTATTATGGTATCGGAAATGTAAATAATAGATAGCCTTACGGAAGCAAATATTCAAAAAGATTTCCTAAGATATTATAAATATTAATGGATATGTTAGTAGATATATTAATTTAATAAATAAATAAAATATAATATAGGATAATTTATGTATTTATTGCCTTAGGTAGATCTGAGAACTATTGCCCTCACCTTCTTTTAAAAAAATCAGGAATATATCCATGCATGTCACACATTTTTTATATTGTAATATCTAACATCAAAATTTTAATATTTACATATATAACCCTTTGTTGTAATAAATTTATAAAATGTAATGTTATGAATTGAGTGTTATCCATGCAAATATGAAAATTCGGGTGTTAAATATATAATATATAAAAATTCTGTTTTTTAAGTTCTTTAGAAAGATTTACATACATGCCACTTAAATGTTATGTATTTACACAACACCTAAAAGTCATTTTTTTTTTAATGTGATTTAGGTGTTAGATTTATAATTACATAAGAGTTGGGTGGTTTTTATGTAAATGCCTCTTTTTTATCTTTAATTTTAGTGACGTTTGGATGAGTAAAGGTCTCCCCTTTTTTATTCAATTATCATCAGTTAATTAACTAACTATAATAACTAATTAGCATCAGCTAATTAAATTATAATGACTGATTAACAACTGTTAACTAACTTCAATTTATGAAGGAAGTTGATGTGTTTCATAAGAAATGATTCTATCATTTTTTATTAAAATTAAATTTATTTTATGTCCTAAAAATCCAATTAAATACATATTAAATTTGATTTATGTAATGCTAATTGATTTAATCAAGATAGAATATTGGGATAATACTAATAATAAAAATAATAAGAATAATGAAGCTACTTTTTAATAATTTTATATTATAATTTAGAAATTTGCAATAGTGCAAAATTTAATAATTCTGAATCAACAAATCTACTTCAATTAGATATATCCTTAAAAAGTATTGGTCGCGCAAATTCTTAGTAACCCGGTTACTAAGTTTGCTTTCTCGTGCTAGATGCTTCGTGTATTATTATCTCACGTCTTCGATCTTCCTTAGTTTTTTTTTTTTTTTTTGCATTTGCCATCTTCCCATTCTTTTGATTTGTCCTTAGTCATGCTTTCTCACCTTCTCTTCTTTCATCGGCTCTTCTTTTTTCGCTCGACTAACATTTACGCTACGCCTAACTCTCTAGTTCATGTTCGTGTTTCATTCCTTACCTTTACACTCGTAAGACTATCTTCGACTCTCTTTTGATATTATTATTGATTTCTGCCACATCACATTTCTCATCTTTTAACCTGGATGACCGCTTACTCCCAATCCTCTGGGCCCTTGTTCTCCTTTGCCAAGTCTCTTTCTTCCTAATATTGTTCGCTCCACAAAAGCATCTTGATTCGTCTCATTCTTATAAATAGTGCCAAATAACATGTACGCCCTTATTGCCTTAATAACATTATCGACGTTTCAATGAGATTGATTAATATTGTCTAGAGCACAAAAGAAATGAAAAAGACACCAATGATTCTAACAAATGCCACCATGTTTCGGCCCACAATCGAAGGTGACTAAGGCATTTCATATAAATTTAATGAAGGTTTAGTTAGGAAAAGTAATATTTTTAAAAATATAGAAATATATAATATGTGGCATAAGACTATAGATATTAATATAATTTACTTCATATATGTATCTTTT